ATTTAAAGGGATTGCGAAAAGGGCCCATGCCAAAGAAAGCTTTGAAGAAGATGATTATGAAATTTGAAGCGATTGGAGACTTGGGAGTGCTGCTATGAAGAGGGTGGAAATCGGTTGCAAAGAAGTCACTACTGCTGTGGTTGAAAGAACCTCCAGTTCCCGCTATTCTTCAGCAAGTGCTCGATTGGTGTCACGTGAGTTGGCGATTCCTATGAAAAATTTTGTGATCCATTTTGAAATGGTAGCTGTATAAGATCCACTTAGTGCAAATGCTGTAACCTCAGGATCACCAAACATGCTGTGAATTTGCTTGCCAATTTTTGGTGAGAATGGATATTGATGAGACATGGCCTTGGAAAATTCTATGGTCAGATGAGGCAGACATTCCTTTAGATGAAGCTGTGAATAATCAAAATTGCTGCTTATAGGGTGCTTCACCTTCCAATGTCCTGCACCAACAACCACTGCATTCTGATTATGTGACTCTTTAAAACTCTCAACTCCTTTGACAGCAGTCATTCCTGCTTTACAGGAATGACAATGTTTGCAGATTACTGTCTTTATGCAAGATGGAGCAACTCCACACATTGGGCGCCAAGTCAAAGAACTGCTTTGTGCTAACTTTGTGCAAGAATCATGTAATATCGAGAGCTTTTCCAGATGCCTGGCCTCATCGTTCATGTGACTTAAACCCATGTGATTTCTCGTTGTGGGGATTCTTAAAAGACCATGTTTATGAAGGATAAATTAGGACTTTACATGAGTTGAAAGCCAGAATTACATGCCATCTTGCTGAAATCCCTCAAAAGTTACTTTGCGCGACCATTGAACATGCTATAATGTGCTTTCAATATGTATTTGATGTCAATGGGGCACATATTGTGCGCATTCTGTTACTGAATAAATTTTAATGATTCTGACAGATATTTTGTCCTTCTTTAGGTGCCACAATTCCTCCTGATGGTCAAACGTTGAATTATTTTTTATTGCAGAAATTGTTTCCCCATGATCCATATAACATGGATACCAAATTTTATCAAAATTCAATAAGTGGAACAAGTTCTAGAGGGGTCTGAATAGGGTCACTTTAATTATAGCCACCCTGTATATATATATATATATTATAAGAGCGTGTGTATGCATATATATTTATATATGTGATAAAAAATAAGTGAGATAGAATATTATCTTTAATTTGTAATAATCTTTCAAGTCTTCTTTTTAATTTATTTCCTTGTTTGTCATAAAAATAGTAACTGCTTATAATAAATCTCTTTAAACTGTCATTTCAAAATTAATCCTTCTTGCATGACACCTATGTAATTCTAATGATGCAAACTTTTACATGAGGTTTCAGCCAATCATAATATCCAAGATTCTAAACTGAAACTACTAAACCAGTATTATCGTATACTATTATACTATTATCGTTGAGGTAACAATTAAAAAAAATCTTTACCATTTCTCTCTTATTAGTTTGCCATCCATACTTTTCTTACTTATAGTGAGTATATCATAAAAAACGCAGATTTTTTTTTTTTTTTTTTTTTTTTTTTTTTTTTTTAAGGCACATAGCTTGTGCCAGCTTAGTTACATATATTAAGAAATTGTTTGATCAAGAAATAGAATATAGGTGTTTGGAAGAAATAAACCATAAATATGTGTTACAATAGAATCTTCTCCTTCATGAATTGACTTTCACTATGTACATCTATGATATCATCAACATCTAAATCATTGCACTCATTTTTGTTTTATTATAGTCACTGATTTTTGTAACAGTTCTAAACATTTTCTGTTGTTTGTTTTTTGATTTAATGAAATGCCGGATTTTTTATAGCATTTATATTAAAACTATAGAACAGTAATTTCTAGATTTAGTCATGGTTCCTAACCATGTTAACTGAAGGCTTAGTTATTCTGTGCTGCAGAATACTGAACAGTTCAAAAGACTGCTTGTTTTGGAAGAGATTCCTTATAGTTGCTCCCTTCCTAAAGGAAGATAAAAATTCAAACGAGGCTGCTTCTTATAGGCCCATCTGCCTGCTCCCAGCCATAAGAAAAATCTTCGAAAGAATAGTACTCCAAAGACTGAATTTTAATAAACTTATAAATACTAGGCAGTATGGCTTTATAGCAGGAAAGTCAGTGGATCACGCACTGAATCACCTACAAAACACGGCACTTAGAAACAAGCAGAATAAACTGCATACTTTTGTCATCAGCATAGACATTCAAGATGCTTCGATTCGTTGTAATGGCATGATGTTTTGAAATGTCTCAAAGATATCAATTGTTGCAAAACTTTATTTGATTTGATCTACAGCTACCTGAGTGAAAGACGAATTGAAGCTACAATGGACAAAGGTGTCCACATGCAAAAGGTGATGAAAGGCTCTCCTGCCTAGGTCCACTTCTGTGGAACCTGGTAGCAGACACCATGTTCAACCTGTTTGATGATGATGAAACATCAGAAATAATAGCGTATGCTGATGACTTCTTGCTAATTTCAAACGGTCACAGCCATAAAAGTTACAAAGTAAATTCCCAAAAAGCATTAGACAAAATAGCCCACTGGGCCAGTAAATATAAGCTCACAATTTCAAGAGCAAAAACAAAAGGAATGCTAATTAGCCCTGGAAAAAGGCACGAGCACTAACCATGCGTAAACCTTCATGGCAGAAACATGCAATTCGTGAGACATTTCTGCTACTTGAGTGTGATTATAGACGACAGATTCTCCTGACTCCCTCACATCAAGGATCTTAAAGAAAGGCTGCATAAATTGTCTAATACAATGGGGAGAACAGCTGCTGCTAGCTGGGGTGTCTCCTCGCAGATGCTCAAAATATGGTATGTCACAGTCGCTGAGCGCATAGCTCTTCATGGCGTTTCCATATGGGGCGTCAATGTCACGTTTAACATGCAACATGCATTGAACTCTGCACAAAGACAATTTCTTCTGGGCATCTGCAGAGAATTCCGTACCTCTCCTACAACTTCATTAAATATATTGGCTGGCCTTCTGCCTCTGCACTTAATAGTACAAAGTGAGAGTATTGTGGTGAGAGTGATTAGACTAAAACAAGACACAATACTAAGCTCCTTATTTGTATATTTATTTTTAATTCCATCGACGGGATCCAACAGGCTGAAAAGCACCTAATCCAGTGGGCCAGCTGTTCCGTCGATGGCGAAAAGAAAAGAAAGATAGACTTCATAACAGCACATTGAACTGCTATGTAGTTCACTGTATTTCTCTATGATTACTGGAATGACATTTATAAGATACAAAGATCACGTGAGATATTATGTCTTTAGGGTCAAGTGAATCAAGCTTGTTATGTTTTTTACTTTTTTCGTGCATATGCTGCATTTTGTGGAAACTAAAACGCTATAATAGATATGAACTTTCAAATAATATGAAACGTTCTGGATATGCAAAGCAGGGTGTGGTATACAAATGATACCTGATATACAAAGCAGGGTGTAACTTGATAGTTTATGCCAGAGTGAGCAGCTTCTTCCGAACTGTCATGCTAACCCTGTAATTAGTATGGCAGTAGTGAAATATTTAAAGTACATTTCATGAGGACTCACTATTCTTCATGGATGACAGAAAACTCACTGTAGGCAAGTTATGCCATTTGAACAGGGGCAAATGATTTGCCTGTGAAAAGCAGAATTTACTCAATGTGAAATTGCAATTGTATGGGGCATAATGCTTTGTCTGTGATTCATGTGTATGTGCTTGAGAGATGTGGATAAGCTTTAAACCTGCCATTGCTTCCAAAAAATTACATCAGCTTAGGATGTCAAACACTTCATCCATATGATTGTGACAGATTATGCAGCTTCATCTTGACTGATGTCATGATGCTGGAGCTACTTTTATAGGTATTCATTGTCAGCTTCAATACTTCATCAATGTCTGCTGTACTCTATGTTATACACATGAATTTCTGAGTACGGAATTTTGCTGACAACCTGCCGCCACAGTGGGCTCATGAATGCAGCTACTGGTATGTTGAATGGCAACAAATTGTCTTTTCTAATGAATCCTATTTTAGTTAGGAATACGGTGATGCTTGAGGACTATTGTGATATGAACTTTATCTCCCAAACCATTGTCATATTAGACGACTGTCAAACTGGATAGTATGGGTTGCATTCAGTTTAACAGGTAATCTCATCTATTAAGAATTGACGGTACTGTGCCTAGCAATCATTACACCAGAAACATTGTGGAGCTTGAATTCATATCCTTAATTTAAGGTATTACTGGAGGTGCATTTTAACAGGGCAGTGCTCATCTCGTATTGGTAGTTCAAGACTTCTCAATGTGGCAAATACTGCTTTCTCCTTGGCCTATCTGTTCACAAGACAGCTTTTTTTAAGATATCTGGAATGGGCAGCAAACTCACTTGTGTCACTCAACCCACTATGAACATGAATTAACTTTGGGCTTGAATAGTACTAGTGATATGGGATGATATTCTTCAAGTAAACATTTAAAAAAAATGTTTGATTCAACCATCCATGATTAGTATGTGCTCTTACTGCAGCATGTGGTGGCTTTACTAAATATTAAATTTTTACATTTAATAAATTGATATATTGTTCTGTAAATTTAATCATTTTTTTTGTGTTGCTGCTGGTTGTATGTGGAATAAAGCATTCTGTTGTGATGATTCCTTTGCAATGTTGCACTTTTCATAAACAGGAATGTATTATAATCATACTGTTGGCATATGCTTTCTTACCTAGGTTAAACAAAGCCATTCAAAATACCAGATTTTTAAATTACGGACATAATATATTTATTTACTGACTGTGTAGGTTGTCTTTTTTTTTTATCATCAGTATATTCAGCCTGTGCATGCCTTAGATACACATACACGTACGTTGCCTTATAAGCATGTTTTATTTATTTATTCTTTTTAAAATGATTATCCTAATATTCATATTATATTTTATATAATTTGTTTTCTTTCTTTAAGGTTTACTCAGATTTGCAACCCTTTGTTGATAATCTTGGCTGCCCTCCTGGCAGCAAATTTGATTTAGTTTCTCTTCCTGTTATATTTTACTTAGAGAAAAATCCAGATATGGTGGATAAAATCAGAGAAGAAGCAGGTGATGATGTATCTGGTTTTGATTTTGAAGCTGTAAGTATAAATCTATTCCTTAAAATACAGTACAAAATCTAAAATCTGGAATCGTTTAAATCCTGATGATTTGGGATTTGGGAAATTTCGAGATTTTGGATCTTCAATTTAAATCTGGTAAGATGACATGTAGAAATTATAAAATTAAAACTGCTCTGGAAGAGCTATTTTGCATATAGAAAGATTTTTTTATGAATTACCACCACATGAAATTTAACTTTGAATCGAAGAAAAAATGGCGATATTTTCTGTATTTAAAATCATACTACATATATTTTGCCATTCCATTGGTTGATATATAATTGAGGTATTGCCATCATAATGTAAGGCATCAGTTATCTTTATTTAGCATTTCTTCTCATTATTCCATTAATTAAATATTTTAGCTTGTCATTTGTGGTATCTGAAAACCTTCAGATGTACAGCTTTCATCATTATCATATAATTTGGTAAGCTGGTTGTATATTATACCAAGCATTTTAAAAAATATCTTCAGACATGTGCTGCCATGAACTTGTAATACCCCATACATCAGATTTTATATTAACATATTTCTATAATTTTTGCATGGTCTTGCTGCTATATTTTTAAAGCTACTTTATCTGGTTTTTGGTGCATACAAAATTCCAGTATCCACTATGTGATTGACAGATGTGTAGTTTTGGAGAAAGAGTAAAGAGGAGATATTATCATTTAGTAAAACTGTAATTTTGACAAGTTTGATAATAACAGATGGAACACAATAATAAGCTACTTCAAATCAGAAAGTTAAGGAAGAGCAAATTTGCTTTGTTAACAGAAATTTCTCGCTATCTTAATTCTTTCTTCCTCATTTGTTAACTATGCCAACAAAAGAAAACCAGTGAGTGCAATATTCCGTTCCTGATACATATGTCTTGGGGCCCTCCCCTGACAACAACTCAAGGGCCGATGGCTAATGTCGATACAATGTCAGGTGCTGTATTGTTATAAAAAAGAAAAATGTTAGCTTTAAGTATGCTTTTAGCCCCTAGATGTCACCATTGATATATACTTTTTATAACTATGTTATGTACTTTTATAAGTAACATTTCAGTTATGTATTTATTACAAAGATTTCAAGATTTTAGTTTTTTGTAGTCTGAGTTTACATTTTTGTTTTCATTTCCACTAAAAATGAACATTAATAGTGCACCAGAATGTGTACAGCTGGAACTAATTAATTTACAATGTGATATAAATCTTTTTCAAAGATTTGAAGATACAGGTTTCATTAATTTATTTCGTAATTGTCAAATAATAAATAAACTCATTTATGTAGTTTTGCAGTAAGAGTAATTGTGTTACTTGGGAATACATAGCCTTTCTTCATAATTAAAAATTAGTAAGAAAAGAACCCGACTGACTAGCTTCTACAGTCTGTGTTGAAGATAATTTTAAAAAATTTGTCCATATTTACAAACTTTATTAGAAATGAAATGTCATTGAGTGTCAAGCGCTTTAATTAGACACATAAAAAAAGTGTTTAATTATTTACATATAAGCATGCGTATTTTTATTTATGTGTTAAAGAAAAATTAAATAAATAAGAGAAAGGTTCCTGTAATTTATTTTAAAGTTTTGTTCCACTTGGAAAAATTTCTCTGGAAAATTTGAAAGGTTTCATAATCTGTTTATTTTAAATTTAAATTAAAGCAAGTTATTTAATAATTAATTAAACACATTAGAACTATTTGTAACATATGACAATCTGAAAATTAAATATTTAGGTGTTGGTATACAGTCAAAAGTCATTAATCCGGACTCGTCGGGACTTCGGCGATTCCGGATTATCGATTTTTCCAGATTATAGATCATCAGTTTAAATCTGGTAAATGGCATGCAGAAATTATAAAATTAAAAATATGAAATCGTAATTTACGAAATAAAGAACAATTATGATCTAAAGGGTATAAAAATTTACAAAAAAAAAAAGTTTAATATTTATTTGTTTACTTTATTAAACATTTCTTTCAATGTAAGTTGTTTAAGTTGCTTCGTTTTTTATGTGATAATACATTCTCTTGAATTCTATAAACAGACATAATTTCTTGTTCAGTTACAAAGTTCCGCTGTTCAAGTCCTATAATTGCTGTGTCGAGAATACCGACTAATTTGTCAGTCGAAATGTTTTCGTTTTCAATAACCTCTGTTACTTTCTTCACTATCGGAAGCAAATTATAATGATGAGGAATTTGATTTAAACCATATCAAAGACGGAGTACATCGAGATGAAATACTACATTTAGTAAGGAATTATAAGCCAAATAAAATAAAAACATCTGCCCTGAAGATAATATCCTTATCTTACAGATCAACTTCCTGCTGACAGATCAACTTCCAATTGATAGCGCGCCCGCCGAGGTGTTAAAGATAAACATAGTTTAGATAAACAAACGTTAAAGTTTAGATAAACAAAGGATATGCCTTTATCCATTTTTTGCAGCAATTCCACTTTTTAATGAACTTCGAAATATACTTTCGGTTTGTAAATCCTTTACATATTAGTAAATATATAGCAGAAATTCTATTTGACATAATCGAAAGTTCAAGCTTACTTTTATAAAATTGCTCTAACAGTTTGCAAAAAATAATAACCCGGATCCAATTCGAAGATTAAGGAACAACGCAATCTGCAACATTAACTGAAATAGATAATTAGATAATTTTAGCTTAGCTTAAAACGTCCGTTATACATTAAACGTGCACTCGTAAACGTATTTTGCGCACGTGCACAAACATATTCGCAGCGGTAAGGTCTTTATCAATGTGACGCATGCACAGAAAGTTTGTAGCTTTGAGGTCCGGATTATGGGTGTCCGAATTAACGACTTTTGACTGTATTTGAATTACAAAATGAAACCAATAAAAATGTGCTGCAGTTACAAAACTTTAGGTTTCAAATACAAAATAATTATAGTTTTTTTTTATTTATGATATTAATTTTTTTTAGTTTGTTCATACAGGATGATTAAAAAAAGTTTACAAAATGACATGGCAAATCAGGCATACAACGAGGATAAAAAATCATATAAGAACATAGGGTCGCAAATGCTATCTGGAGCCACTAGAGGGGATTAAAAATACAGTCAAAAGTCGTTAATCTGGACTCGTCGGGACTTCGGCGATTTCGGATTATCGATTTTTCCGGATTATAGATCATCATTTTAAATCTGGTAAGATGGCATGCAGAAATTACAAAATTAAAAATATGAAACCGTAATTTATGAAATAAAGAACAATTGTGATCTAAACGGGATCAAAATTTACAAACAGAAAAAGCTTAATATTTATTTGTTTACTTTATTAAACATTTCTTTCAGTGTAAGTTGCTTAAGTTGCTACGTTTCATGTGATAATACTTTCTCTTTAATTCTATTAAACAGACATAATTTCTTGTTTAGTTACAAAGTTCCGCTGTTCAAGTCCTATAATTGCTGTATCGAGAATAACGACTAATTTGTCAATTGAAATTTTTTCGTTTTCAATAACTACTGTGTCACTTTCTTCACTATCGGGATCCTTTACATATTAGTAAATATATATCGGAAATTCTATTTGACATAATCGGTTCAAGCTTACTTTTATAAAATTGCTCTAACAGTCTGCAAAAAATAATAAGCCGGATCCAATTCGAAGATTAAGGAACAACGCAATCTGCAACATTAACTGAATTAGATAATTTTAGCTTAGCTTATACCGTCTGTTATACATTCAATGCACATGCGTAAATGTATTATGTGCGTGCGCACATGCATATTCGCAGCCGTAAAGGTGTTACGCGCACGCGTAAACGCCTATGCGCATGCCTCAACGCGATGCATGCGCAGAAAGTTTGTACCTTTGAGGTCCGGATTATAGATTATTCCGGATTATGGGTGTCCGAATTAATGACTTTTGATTGTAGTACGGAGACAAGAAACAAAACCATTCCAGATCATCTATTTATATGAGTCACATGCTACAAATGTATGACCACTACAGGAGATGCTCAGAGTTTTTACCAGATGCATCGAAACATGCCTGACATCGATGCTGTATTGAATGGCACACCTTTTGAAAGATGCCAGGTATGCTGTCACAGCAATTTTTCCTATTAAGTCTTCCAGCAAAGAAACAGATGTTTCATACATAAGTCCTTTTAAAAAACCCCAGCCATTAAATTGGTCCACTGCAAATAATACTGCACCCAGGGAAAGTAGCCTGCAGATGTGTTCTGATTTGTTTGCTGAAATCCGTGGAAGTTCTCATTGCGCTGAAATTGAATGCACCGATGAATTGGCATAGGAACATAATTCAGCATGTCTGGCAGAATCTCTTGCTAGAATGCAAAATAAATACAACCATCAAGTCTTTCTGGGAGAATGTATGGACCAAATAAACAGTCTCCTACAATGCCAGCCTACACATTGAGGGTAAATTTGTGTTGTGAGGCATGCAGGTTTTCATCTGTCCAAGTGTGCACATTTTGAATGTTCATCACACCTTTTAGTGAGAACGTAGCCTGATCAGTGAAGAGAACACTTGCTGTGAGATGTTGATTTGCAGCATTTCGTTGCAAAAATCAATGTGCAAATTCCATGCACTTGTTGTAGTCTTCCAGTTCCAATGTCTAGATGTTGTAAATGAAAAGGATGCAGCCTCTGGTCATGTAAAATGCGACAGGCGGTAGGTTAAGGGATATGGGTGTCTCGGTATACAACTTGTGTACTTATTGAAGTACTAAGCTCCAGTTCTTGAGGAATTCTTTCTTCTGAAAAAAACTGCTTGAGGTGATTTTTGGCAACCAGCATCCAGCTTATGCATGTTAAACGAGCTGGTTTTGAACAATCGTCGATGCAGAGTGGTAAGGCACCTTTCTATCAGGCTATTTCTCACGATACATTCGCTCAGTTTCTCGCACATTGCAGTAGGAGATACCATTAATCAAATGCATGTCAGCCATTTTGTGGGATGTGTAAATAGCTGTGTTACTACCAATGCATCTATGGCTTGAATGAAGACAATCTCTGTTTTCTCAGCTCATGTTTGTATAGCAATGCCCTCTCATGGCTTTAGCACCCTGTAGTGGCATTTGTGTTCCTGTGTATTTACCCTGTGTTCCTCTGTGATTATTGATCCTTGTGGTAGGCCTGATTTGCATGCCATTTTGTAATTTTTTTTAATAACCCTGTATATATTCATTAAAAAAATCTGGTACATCAGTGGCTTACAGATAATGCATGCAACCCACATGCAATTTGAGTTTGAGGCCATGCCTTAGCCAGTTGGCATTTGAAAGTAACACACAAATAAAAAGTAAATTGGGAGACAAGTTGCTTTCACAGTATGCCTGCTTTTTTATTATTTATTTTTTAAAGTTTTATATTCCAGATTCCTAGACATTATTAGGAAAAAAGTAATGGTGCCAGATATTAGATTATTCTGGATTTCAGACTGTATTTTTTTTTTTTTTATATCAAAGATTAAAGCACAGAATGTTTTAATATAATACACTTACTAAGTGTGCCTTTTGGAGCTTTAGTAAGCCACTTCTTCATAAATATAATTTAAATTTTATGCAATTTAGAAGAAATATTTGACTTATTTTTGAAGAAAATACTGAAATGGTAAATCAGCATACTTCCATTTTAAATTTCAGTTAATTAAAAGAAAAATAATAATGTGTATAGATAGGGATATATGAAATAGTTTCTATTTATTCTGTTTGTAGAATAATATTTGTATGTTATGTAAAATTAAAGTGTTCTTTAAATAAATTACTTTCAAAGAAATGGTTTAAACAATTTTGAAATTTTTTCTCAATAAGATCATGCTATCCTATAATGTTTTAAATCTACAAGCTTGACATTTCCGTAATCTTCAATATATTTTATATCAGCTGAGATTATGAAAGCAAATATTGATAATGTCACACATTATGCAAATCAAAGTATTAGAATTTAAGTAAATATACCATTTCACACGTAGCTAAAAATCGCTAATATTCAGAGCAGTAATGCTTCTTTAAATTAATATCAATGGTGTATGATCAAATCACTTCTTTTCGGAAATGGTAAGAGACTCCTTCAGAATTATCTTGTAGTAACTCTTACACAAACAGTGTTTTAATTTATGTCATTGCATGACAGCTGTTGATAAACAAAACTTTTTAAGAGCTAAATCTGTTAAGCTCATCTGTTATCTGTTTTTCACATGCTTGAACTTTGACTAACTTTTTCTTTTTATATGCAGATGTAAATTTAAAGTTTTTTATTACTCTTGTTGCAAATAGTTTTCTTTTAAAAAATGCTAATTTATATTTACTTGCAACTTTTTTAGTTATATCGTTCAATAATGGCAGATGATAGTGTCGAAAAAACAAAGAAACTTCTTGCACAGTATTCACAACAGGCAGAAGATATTTTGCCCGCATTTGGATCTTCAGCAGCAGCAAAAGCCTTATCTAACATTATTAATTCTCTGAAACATTAGATGTTGTATGTTTCTAATAATTGTAAACTTTGTACATATTTTCAATATTTTTTGTAGAAAATAAATGGAATATTTTGGGAAATAAATGCTTTACTGATCATTTACTGTGAAAAGTTTTGTAATGCCACTTAATCCTTAAATAAGATGATTAATTTAGAATAAATAATTTTTATAGTGTACTACAAAGATAAATCTCAGCATAATTAACACCAGTTAAGAGATTATCGTAATTTAAACTTGGAGAAAACCCATACAGAAATTTATTTTAAATTTAGGATTATTAGTTTTGATTGAGTTGATTGAGAGATTTGATTACTTCAGATAAAAAAAGAGTATACTCATCTGGAAATTTAAATTCAGGTAAATTGCAATCTTAGATTGATGTTGACTATGCTAACAATATGATGATGTTTGTTTCATTGAAAATTATGCATTTTGAGGAAGATAGTGCTTTTTTCAAAAAATCACACTTTTCAATTTGTAAAAATTCTGTCTGTTTAATAGCAATGGAAAAACATTGATCATGGAAGTGCATTAAGAGGAAAAGTCAGCATATGCAAATAAATTAGGTTAAATTTTTTTTTTCAGACTTGTTTTTAAATGTACCAGGACAATTAATGTTCTTTGGAGAAGCATAAGATACGTTTATATGGAAATTTAGACTCAATTTACTTTCTGAGTTTTTGAACTTTAGCATTGTATTTATTAATCATTGCAGTGGTTCTTACTTAATTAAAATGGTTTTGGTTTGCATCCATTTTAATATGTAAAATTTATTAATTTCATTTGAGGTAGGTTCTTAATTTTATATTTATAAAATATTTATCTATTTTACTTGATTCTTGAAGTTCAATGAGGGCCGAGCGGTAAAGTCACTGATAGTTTGGTCCGAGGTTCGAATCCCACGAATGGGCTGACTACGTGGGCGTTTTCGTGGTTTTCCCCATGTGTAAAGTGTATACGAGCCAGTTTCCCTTAGAAAGTCCTCCACGAAGGCATCCCTCCCCTTAGGCAGATAGCCCTAGTGTGCTTTGCCATAATTAAATAAACCAAACCAAAAGGCAGATAGCCTTAGTGTGCTTTGCCATAATTAAATAAACCAAACCAAACCAACCTTGAAATTTAATGTATATTAAATTTGGCAGTGAGCTAAAAATAGTTTTATGTGGAAAAAGTAGATACAAAAGTTAAATTATTCCTAGAATAAATAGAGCTCTCATGAAATTTTGTATTATTTCTTTAAATGGATATATGTTGGGATAAATTTTAAAAAATCAGTAAATACCAGTCATTGTTATTTATTTTTAAATGTTTTGTATCATAACTAAAATATTATAGTGGATAAAACACAGCAATCATTTATGATTGTTAGGGCTTTAACAAGATTCTTTTGCTAAAAATAAAGTAAATTTTTAATGAAAATTTTTTTCCAGTTTTGGTTATTGCTAAGTTTTTTTTTTTAAAATTTAATAAGTTGATTTGAGTTATTTCTTTATTGTTGCCACTATTAATTAATTTTATTTATTATTGGGCCAAAAGGGCTATTGGTATCCAAATGTGATTTTGCATAGTTTCACTTTTCTTTTAATTGCCATTATGTAAAATGTAAGATATTGTTATCTGTTATTAATAAACTAAACTGTTTAAAAGCAATAGATGCAGTTCTTAAGAATATTATTTTTTTACTTTTTAATCTGATTGATTTTAATAAGATGCATTTAATTAATGATATATCTAATTAAAAACATTAGATATATTTATAGAATTATGTTACATATTTTTCCTCTTTTTAAAATATATAGAAGCTATGTACAGTTCCCACGTTAGTCTGAATGCATATTCATGTAATATCCTAGGCAGATTGCCGATAATAAACTAAACCAAACCATCATCTAAAATACTATAAAAATGTTTCATTCTTCCACCTGGACTATTTTTATCAGTAATCTCTGCTGATAAATAATATTAAACTTTAAGAGAGCCCTTTTGGGAGAATCCTTAAAATCTGAATCCTTTTCGGATTTTAATATTAAGTACTTAATTGATTTTTTTGGTGTATGCGAAATAATATGAGATGTACGCTACAAATTATTTATTATTATGATTTTTTTGGATGTATGTGAAATAAAATGAGAAGTGAAATAACAGATATAATGCTTATAATGTACAAATATTTTATTAATTCTATTATGCTGCTTAATTTATAGCACCAAATATGAATTAAAAAAAATGTTTCTGGTGACATAATATTTGAATTTAAAAAAATCCTATTTCATATTCAATGTTGTAATTAACTTCAGTAAATATTTAATAACTTCATCATTCCCCAAATCTTTGAATAATTTTAAAACATTTACTGTTTTTTGTACATAGCTTGCAAGCTGGTCCTTTGCTTCATCCATAATTGAGGTAGAGGTAAATATTTCATTGAGCTGCAAAATCATATTGAACATATTAGTTCTATTTTCAGAATAAAATTATATGGATAAGCAAATTTGAATCATTAAGAATATCAGGTGACAAAACGTGCTTAATTTACTTGTTATTTTGCCATGAGCATTTTGAAAAAGATTGCAATATATACAAATAAAAATTAGAAATGTTCATTTTATGTGAATTGCTTTGAGATAAGTAATAATCTCAGAATATTAATAATGATCTGACAACAATATAATAAAAAGAAAAAAAAAAGCAGTAGTAAATGTTGCTACTACTAGTTTGAACCATGTAATTAAAACACAATAAAATGCTATTAAAATATTTTCCTAATGATAAATATAAATATGGCAAAGAACATTTTAAATGGTATTAATGAAATAATGTTAAATTTCATGTCAGCTTAAACAAAAGCAGAGAAAAATGCATTTTAAAGTTTTCTGAATTATTCTTGAAATTATTGTCTGTATTTTTATTAAATAATATCAGATTTAATGTGTGGTAATTGTTAACTTGCCATTTCACCTTTTTACTTTGCAAATGTTTACAAAAATTTATTATCAAAAGTTATTATATAAAATTAACTTTTTCATTTGAATTGAGACTTTAATAACAAATTGTAATGCATATTATATATAAGATAATTAATTTATATTATAGGCTCATATTCAGCAAACATTAGATTAATTTTCTAATGAAATGCTCCCCCCCCCTTTCTCCCAGAAACAGATTTATGGGGTTGCACAAATAGAGTCAACAGTAGGGCCTTGCATTCCAAGAGGCCTTCAGATCAAGTTTTTAGACAATAGTAAATATATTCTGTGTCTTAAGATAAGGAGCTTTTAAAAGCTCTGGTAGGCCTTCCACTACATAAAGACCAGTATAATTAATGTCCCTGTGTTACAAATGTATGTAATTATGCATTATAATTTATGTCCAATATACATTATAGTATTAGACGTATACATACATTATAGTACTGTATGCCCAGGACATACATTGTCTGTACTATACTGTATATCCAGTTTTATGTGTATATCTTGTACTGTATGTGCTAGTAATAATACAGGGGGATCAGCAAATAAGCCCTGATTTCAAAATTAAATATCTCTACAACAAAGATCGATAGAATTATGCGGTAAACTTGTACGTTTATTAACAAAACTGTAAAAATGGTGTACAAAAGTTTAGAAAATTTTGTTACGAAAGTCGTTAACAGATGGCGCTGTAATCGCTGTACCTATCAATAGCCTTTAAAAATGGGCTTCGAATTCGAAAGTGATCAGTACAACTGTTGGCTAGTGAAAAGAGGCTAGCGTAGAAAGTGAAATAATGTATTTTCCATTGAACAACATGTTTTTTTGGTTCTGGAATTTCGCCGATTAGAACACAGTCCTACGGCAACACGTGGCAGTTTTCAAAACCAATTCAATGTTCCAGTTGAACCCGATGCGAAACCCATTCATATGCTTTTGTAAAATAACCAGTTTGAACAGAATTCGAATTCGAGCGAAATTCGAACGGACTGGCAGCGTGGCTGATGATTGAAAGGGAAATGTTGGGCCTAGGCAAACTGTAGTCCCTCCTGAAAATACAGCCAAAGTTTCTGGAATTGTTCAGCAAAATCCTAGGAAAAGCATCCGATGGATTGCATCAGAGACAGGTTTGAAGTACATGAACACACAAAAAATATTAAAAAATAGCCTACGGCTGTTTCCATACAAAATCCGAAGTCATCAGGCCATACCCATGAAAGCTGTGCAACAAAGGGTTGACTTTACGAATCAGATTCCAACAATGGTCGACAACGACAGATTTCATGTGAGCTGCATCTAGCTCACAGATGAGACACATTTTCATTTGAATGGAATAAAAAAATACTGGAGATTTTGTGTTTCCGAAAATCCTAATTCGCGTGAAGAAAAAGCACTGCATTCGCCTAAAGTTACTGCATGGGCTGCGGTATGCGCCAGAGGCATTATCGGACCCTTTTTTCGAGAAACGATAACTACTAAACGTTACATTACAATTTTGTAACAATTTGTCAGCACTCAACTAGTGTTGGAGAATCGACCAGGTATCGACTGGTTCCTGCAAGATGGGGCCCAACCACATCGAGCAGATAAAGTTTTTCGCTTTCTTCTTGAATACTTTGGGAATAGAGTAATTGTGTTAGATTATTCGCATTTGACTGGCACACGAATAGCTTAGCCTTCATATTCTCCTGATCTGAATCCTTGCGACTTCTTTCTGTGGGGTGCATTAAAAGACACTGTCTATCGAAACCATCCCGCTACTCTAGATGAGCTTGAAAAGTTGATTGGTGTTGCATGTGATTCTATTTCCGTTGAGACATTGCAAGACGTGATGTCAAATTTTATTGTTCGCCACCTCATTGTTCGTTTACACCACCTCATTGTTTCGAATGCTGACCATTTTGAAAAAATTGTATTTTGATTGCAAAGGCTGCTTCACTTTATCTATTTATTTATTTATTTATTTTTACTCTTTTCAAGAAAAGAGTTTTCAGCGCAGAGTGCCATCTTTAACGATTTTCGTAACTAAATTTTCTAAATTTTTGTACACTACTTTTACAGTTTTGCTAATGAACATACAGTTTACTGCATAATTCTATCGATCTTTGTTGTAGAGATATTTAAGTTTGAAATCAGGGCTTATTCGCTGATCACCCTGTATAAATGGGATTTTAATTGAGGGATTCAATTATTTTGTCTCCAGCTTCCTCAGTCTTCCAAATTTATAAATTTAGAATAGCATAAATATTTTTAATGCATATAGCAGAGAAGTTTTATTGTTATGAAGCAAAATTTGTTTTGAAAAAAAAATATGCATTTTTACAATTAAGTAAAAAACAGGAATTCTTACAGAAAAATTTTGATGTATGATTGATGCTCGAGTCCTTCTCTTAGGTTGTTACTGTCATAGAGAAGATTTTATATTTGAATATTTTTAGCATAAATATTTTATTTGTGATCTGTATTTGCATGAAATAATATTAAGAGTAAACAAAGAAATAAATGTAAATTATTTTCACATAATAGACACATTTCATGAAACTTTTAATTTTATATTTACCTCTGAACTGTTTAAGTTATCGAGATCTTTCCTGCTGTTGTAGATGCTTGCTAATGTTTCAGGATTATTTGTCAGATGAAGAACTATAGGGAAGCTGGTTATGTCAATAGAGGATGTCTGTGATGTTTTGTACTTCCAGTATTGTTGAATATCTGAATTAGCCTTAATGGAAAAAACAAAATATAAAACTATATTTCATAATCATCATAAATTTTCTGTGTGTTCATTTTCTACTGAAGTTATTAAAGTGCTGTTTTGAGTAAAATATAGTTCAGGTAGAGTTTTACAAAAACTTAAAATGAATCTTAAATAATTAAATAAAATGTTAACAACAAGGATTGATGATTTACTTTAAAAACAATTAATGCATTAATTTTTTATGATTTAATTACAAATCACATTTAACCTTTAAATTTAAATTGATATTAATCAATAGAGCAAATCTTTTTAAATAGAATGTTAATATTTCTTTAGCATTAAAAAGTATATTTTCAGATGTTATAAATAAAGGTAAACACAATTGTAATTGTAACACGCATATAAAGCTAGACACATATTTTTTTCATATATCAAATTAGTAATTCTTTTTATGGACTGTTGTAATGCCTCTTTAGAAACTTAATATTTCAAGTGATCTGAGTAATGGCTCATTGAATTTTGATAAATATCCATATGATTCTTTTTTGGAGCAAACTTATAGAAAATGATAACTTGAATCATTTTCTATATGCTTGTTGGATGGGTACTTCGATGGTATATCGTAATTTGTGTATTGATTTTCATGATGAAAACTATATAAAGTTTCATGACTACCTTTGTACACTTAGTTTTGTGATTTACTTCTCAAATTTGAATCAAATAACTTCATCCTCTAGGTTTGTTGTGACTAATCAGATTTAGTTCTTGCTTCATAATTCTAAATGTTATATCCAATTCTATCTCAAAGTACTAATATTTTTATGGACAAAGATACTTCTTATACTTGCCGCTGGTGACTTAACATTTAAAATTATATGCTAAAGAAATGGTCACCAATAATTTTATATCAAATAATACTACAGTGCATGACTTTCGATTGTGAAATGAGAATCATTTAACTTTGCAAAGAAAATTTATTGTTATAAGTAATTAGTAATGCATGTTTTCAAGACATATATTGATGTAATATAATCTTTGTACACTTAGTTTTGTGATTTACTTCTCAAATTTGAATCAAATAACTTTATCCTCTAGGTTTGTTGTGACTAATCAGATTTAGTTCTTGCTTCATAATTCTAAATGTTATATCCAATTCTATCTCAAAGTACTAATATTTTTATGGAAAAAGATGCTTCTTATACTTGTCGCTGGTGACTTAACATTTAAAATTATATGCTAAAGGAATGGTCACCAATAATTTTATATCAAATAGTACTACAGTGCATGACTTTCGATTGTGAAATGAGAGTCATTTAATTTTGCAAAGAAAATTTATTGTTATAAGTAATTAGTAACACATGTTTTCAAGACATATATTGATGTAATATAATACATATAATTCACAAGAATACTACAGAAGAAACCAAGCTTAATATACAAAAGTTATTGTTTAAAGTCTAATTTAAATTATTTCAAATGATTTGGCCCACCAGTGGCCGAGTAGTAAAATTGTTAAACGCTTGAAGTTTGATCTGGGATTCGAATTCAGGCGAACTACATGGGCGTTTTCATGTTTTTTCCTATGTGTAACTTGTATACGAGCCAGTTTCCCTGAGGAAATCCTCCACGAAGCATCCCTCCCTTTAAGTAATTAGTCCCTGATTGCTTTGCCGTAATTAAATAAATCAAACCTTGAAATGATATACGCATATTATTAACTGTAAACACATATTTTTTTCCATCATATATAATTGATTTGCATCAAACTATGTTGACTATAAAGCTTTATAAGTTATTTGGCACTTTGTTGGAACAGTACCTCTAAATTACTGTATATTCCCGTATAAATTGGAGAACTTAGATTTGATATTCTCCTTTGTAAACAGTCATTAAGATGTTCTTCACAAAAACTTGCTTTGCTTGTTTGAGATTCGTTATAGAAAATAAGTGTTAGTGTAATTGAGAGGAACTAATAAATATTATCTTTTTTGCTGTACTTTTAAAGGAAATTCTGTTGTTAAAACAAAACTAGAGAAGTTTTTGTGTGTTATATGGGATCTTAACATGAAACATTCTGAAGATTCAAAAGTTGTAATTTCATATTTTCTGTCCCCAACGTCTTTTCAAAGTCATTAAAAAGATTAAAGTAACTTGAAAATGATTACTTAAAATGATTAAAAATGAAAAACTTTTCAACTGTGAGCATGTAGTAGCGGGGAACGCGAACGTAAAAAGGGAACTCTGCCTTCATTACTTGGTCCTATAATGAACAAATGCAAGATTCTGTTAAGCAATAATTCCTAGTAACCTGACATAAAGTTTGGAAACCCCCTATTGTAGAATTAATCTTCCCTCCCCCAGGGCTTCGTCAGCTTTTATTCCAAAACTGCATTTACTGGGGCCTTTTAATATGTTTTGATCCTCCAAAGATGTTGAAAATCCTCACCTAATGCGCGAAAAAATGCTCCTGTAGCCAACAAGATAATATCTGTAGTCCGTGTAAAAAGGTTGATAACATACAGGAAAAATATGCTGTTCATTTTTAAAATGATCCTGAAGAACAACCGTGCATATTGCGGTTAAAACGCTCTGAATACAATACCTATCACAATAAAGAAACAAATTCTAACAGTGTACGGTAATATTTCATAGAATTAAAAACATAAAATGCATTTACACTTACTTTTATGGCAAGAGCAAAACAGTGGCCAAATTCAAAAGCTGTCTCTTGAATTTTGTTATCATATCCTGCTAATTCTAGGGTAGCTTGACATCCACTTGCTAGAAGAAGACCGCGTGGATGGAATGCTTCGTATTCCCATTCACCAATATTATGAATTACTTGGAAATCGTTATTGTTGGAACTTCTATTTATAGCTAATGATTCTAAGACATTTGCTAAGAGAAGAAGCACCTAAAATAGCAAAAACTATTTTCAGTTAGAGTGTATATTTAAAGCTGAGTTTTTATTCAAGAAGTATGAACTTAGTTTTTTGTTCTACTTAAAAGATGAGAATTTATATGGTATGCACAAGTATTACTATAATAATCTCATTTTGAATTCTTAAAAGCTATATAGTATTGAAAAAATAAGAACTTTACACTTCTTAAAGATATAGATATACGTAAGAAACTAGTTGTTTCGTATTAATAAAATTAGAATAGAGTAAAAAAAATGTTTTATCTGACTAAAAGTATTTATTACACCCCTCAGAAATAAAGGATGTTTGTCATGACAACAAAAACTGCGGAATAAAAAACACCAGTTTACATTGAAATTCTACTATTCTTCCACATTATTTGCTAGTGTTCAGTAGTGCGAATTGTGTCGACACCACACTACGCTCGACTTTCGCCTTGTTTGTCCACATAATATTAACCAAGAAATCTGTGTGTCAAGACACAGTGAGTTCCTCATGAAGTTATACCGGTTATATCACCTTTGATTATCTGTTAGCAACCCTTATATTAGCGTTGCACTGTATCGCTGAACTCATAAATTATGCAAAATTTGCCGTACAGGACAAAATGGAAATGTCTTTGCGATGTCATCAGGTTTATTTCAGAAAAGGAAGCATAAAAAATTAGCCATGCCCGCTCCCATATTCGAAATCTGGACCTCTTGATTGCTTGCCGGATGGGTGTCCATTTACAACACGAAGGAACGCAATAAAATGAAAAATTATTTGCATTCTTCCCTACTCAAATGGCGCCTGGGAAAGAGGGAACTCATTCGATGGATCACCAGATGGTGAAGAATTATCATTTATTACATTTTAGTTCGGGCACTATCTGTACAGTCATTTAAAATTTCTTGTAGTAGGAAAGATGAGACAATCATCGATACCCTTGTCAAAATCCGAACTTCCCGAATCTTAGCCGGACATCCTCTTAATGACACCACGAAGCCATGAGATCAGGAAAGATGGAATTCCTTAAAATTTATGTCAGTAGTCAGATACCGTGGAATCTGCATTGAAGGGCTTCTGCTCAAGTTAATTTCTTTCAGTGTTCTATTCAAGTTAATCTATTCAAGTGTATGTAGGGTGTAATTTCATACTAAGTCGGCAATACTGTATGTGTTTTCTAATTACGCTTTTTCGCCATCTCGCTTAGTTTTCACGATTAACACGATTAATCGAATTCTAAGTTCTCATCTAAAAGCACTGACTGAATGATTCGGACTTATGCGATGTACAATGAGCACTGCTTAATAAAGTCACTGCTTTATAAAATAAACCGCTTAAATCAAAACCTAAGGGACGAATTCAAATGATTACAATATCATTATAAAAAAAACCGCTTAATAAAATTAACGCCACCGCTTGTAAAAATCAAATCTCTTTTAAAATTGAAAAGTAAAAAACCCAAGTTTGTGTCTCAAGTTTAGTGATTTTGTTCAAAGTCGGTTCACTGTCGCACGTGGAGGTGCAAATGCCAAAATTTTCTTATCTGAAAATGTCAAAACCCCGTGGTTCAACGTTAGTGATTTCATTTAAGATCTATTCACTTTTACACGTGGAACTGCGATTTTTCTTATCTGAACCAATCATAGGTGGGGATGTGATACAAGAGGTTTGTCAGAAATGGCTCATATCAGTTGCGGGAAGCGTATTTCGTAACTACACATTTGTATAGCCACTGAGGGAGTGGTTTCTAGAATGGACGAATGGGCTTAGAGTAATGTTTCTGTCATTTCACAAGACAATTGCCATGCTTTAAGCAAGATGGTTAAAAATGTTTTGCAATAATTAAAACATCGTGGATTTCTTTTGAAAATTTTCAGTGCGAAGTTAGATCAAATGTAAGCATAATTATATATGTAAATAGCAGAAGTTATAGCATTTTTTATTGCAGTCTATATGAAAAAGATGTTCTATAATAATAGCCAATGCACAGGTTTTTTATTCAAAGTGAACTTTCCTAATTTGTATTCTTACGCATTTAGCGGATTAAATTTTACATTAATAACTGTTCACTTTGAAATCTATTGCCTGCACAAAATACTCTTCAAGCAGAATGAATTTATTCACAACGAGTGTATTTAATTTATTTATATATAACTTTTAATGTTAATAATAGGTATAATGAGATCATTCACAATATATGTTTTGAATCTTATGCTTTCAAAATCAAAGAAAACAAGCATTGAGATAAGAAAATGCTAAATTCACTAAGTTAAATAAAAAAAATAATGCATTTGAATTCTCTTAAATCATATGTGTTGGTAAATGCATTATATTCGAGGCGAATTGTAGCTTGAGTCATTTTCTCGATATAAAGAGCGATAATATGTTGCGTTGTAAGTTTCGCGAAAGTGAAATGTTGACGATCAATAAACTTATAAAAGGAGATACTACGAGATTTTCCACTAAAATGATAACAGCATTTATAGGCCATCCATTTATAAGTGGGAAGCAAATGCAAAATAAAACGTAAACAACAACATGCTCAATTTCAAAGATTCAGCGTAACAAGAGTAATAGAAGCACACTAGTCCATTTTTGAATTCCCTCCCTAAGTGATGATACTGATGTGCAGTTGTGAATTGTACTTTCGGAAAAGGAGAAACAATCACAGCAAGAACAACAACACACACACACAAAAGACATGAGGCAGAATCGCTTTTAAAAATTGTTTTTTTCTCTTTTTTCCTCACATAGTTCGTTCAGTTTACCCATTCATAGCGTGCTGTTGTTGTTTGGTCGTGCCTCAAAATGTCTAAACGCAAGGACAAGATTAAAAGATAAAGAAGAATTGTTGAAGCAAATAGCTTACCAAAATGCAGCCAACGTGAAACTTCTGTACAACTCGGAATTTTACAATGTGCATTATGTACGTTTTTGAAAAGAGGGGATGCAATTTCGAATGAATTGGTAGCAAGTACAAATGTCTCACGTAAGCGGAAGCGAAGTAGAAAGTCTTATCGATGTAGAAATTGCCCTCTCGAAGTGCTTTCGAAATGCCAAGAACAAGAACGCCACGAGAAATCTTGTATCAAAAGGCATCAGAATTCTCCAAAATGTTAGGAGAGGAGTTTGTCCCTACCGTTTTGTTTTGTTTTGTTAGGGTGTAGCCCGGTCCACTTTGCAAATCAAAGTTTGCCCTATGACCATATACGGGCTACGCCAGTACAAAAAATCACCACACAACTATACAAATACACGAATCACACAATGCCAATGGCTTCTTTATTTGTTGCTAATAATCTTGATAATCTTATGCGTTATTCCTCTTGCCCTAAGTAAACCATTTTTCATAAAATCTATGTTCGCTCCATCAATGCATCTAGTTAACTTACATTCTGTAATAAAGTGGACATTGTCTCCTACTTTTGTACATACTTTACATAAATCATTATCTTGAACATGAAATCTTTTCAGATAGAAGGGAAATCTCTCATGACCTTGTAATTAACTGATTCAAGTCAATGTCATTGTTAATATTCACATTTTCCTTAAGAATAAAAATCTTCATGAACATATTATTTTAGCAGAGTTTTCCCATTGAGTCCGCCATTTATCTATAATGTCACACTTCATAATGTTAATGCATCTTCTCCTGGAGGCTTGTACATCGGCAGTACATCGACAGTGTCCCTACCGTTGGATGACTCACAAGATGGAAAGAAAGAAACAATATCGTTTTCAGAAAATGACACGGAGAGAAACAATATGCAGATTCTAATGAAGCCGATAACTGAATATAAAAGAATTTTGCTGGACTTTTGCGAGAATACTAAAGAGCATCAAATTTTTAACACTGATGAGACTGGTCTCTATTATCCAGCCCTACATTATATCACTTAAAAGAACAGAATATTTAAAAGTGAATCGTTAGCTGGCTTTAAAAAAATGAAACTGCGTGTTACTGTGTTTTTAACGTATAATATGGGAGGAACAGTTGAGAAGACGCCATTAGTCATCGGTGCAAGGAAAACCCGTCGTTGTCTGAAGGGCGTCAAGCATTTGCCTGTAATTTATTACAACAATAAGTCTTGGACGACAAGCAATATTTTTAGGGATTTTCTTACGAAGTGGAATAAATAAAAAAAAAAAAAGTGCAGCTCCCCATCCAGTTGTTAGATAACTGCGCTTCCCATCCAACTGATCTCTCGTTGAGGAACATAAAATTCGTTTTCCTTCCTTCTAATACTATTTGCATTCTTCAGCCATTAGATCAGGGTGTTATAAAAACATTCAAGAGCTATTACAGGAAGAAAGTAGTTCAAAATGTTATTAATGAAATTAATACGACTGATGCAATTTGTTCTTCTAAGGAAGCTGCTAAATCGATTTCTCTCTTAGATGCTATGCATGTTATTTTAAATGCATGGGATGAAGTAACTTCGCAAACGATTTCAAATCGTTTTAAAAAAGCCGGCTACCATCCCAATCAAATTTCTGGAAACTCTCAAGATGTGCCAGTAGACAAGGAATAACGATGACGAAATGCATGATGAGACCTTCCTGGAATATTTGGGAATCGATGAAAACATGGAGACTTGCTACGAAAAGAGTGATGCAGAGATCATCGATGTTATCAGAGGAAGCAAAGGAATTAGTGAAAATGAAAGTGAGTCCGAGGATGAAAATCCCGATCCTGTACACCAAGAGCAGCACAGTCTCGATAATCCTTAAAAATTTTGAGAAGAACGTTAGAACTTAAAGGTGGAGATACAGAAAGTTACAAGCAATGTTGAGTTGCTGCACGACTGCAAGCAATGAAAGTTACAAGCAATGCTTGGAGACCATCATTGAAAAGAAAAAGAAATATGCAACACATTCGAATGGATAAAGTTTTAAATGATGTTTGATATACTTGCATATAGTATTGATCTGTGTAACATATTGAAATAATTACAATTTTTCTGAATTAAGACGGCTTTTGTCATCCATGGAAAAAAATAATGAAAGTTTCATATAAAAAAAGTGTATGTAACTTACATATTAAACAGCATATCGAAAAAGAGTATTTTTCTCAACAGCAGGCCCGTATGCAAGGAGAGAGAGCTTCAGATATGTGCACAGTTCATTCATAAAATTTTATTGAAATCTTCTATAAAATCAATCTAGTTTTAAAATTTTATTTTTATATCCCCCCCCGAAAATATACAACCTTATGTCGCTAACCGAAACGAAACCTTGCGTGCGGCCTAGCATCGCATGTAAAATTCAGACGCTTTATAAAATCAAATAAGGCTGGAATTGATATATTTAGCGGTACTCACTGTAGTAAATTTATTGTAGGTAGAGAGGATATTTTGAAACTCGTATTTTCTACGTTTAAAAGTTTTTTCCAATGTTTAAGGATTTTGTTATGCACTTTGTACATATAAAGAAAAAGAGCTTTAGAAAGAAATTATGTTGTTACAATTATGAAATTAACAAGTTTGAGTAGTTATTTTTTTCCCTTCTTAAATATATTCGTATAAGAACATGAACTTCATGATTCTATTTGGAACCACAATAAAAAAGCATTATATAAATTTATCAAATGACTTCTACCTTACTTTTCAGATCATTTCTGATTCCACGAAAAAACTCAGCCTTCGAAATTTATATAACGCACTTCAGGAAAACTAAAATATTTCATAATGAAACGCTGAAATTCAGTTAAAAAAAAAAAAGAATTTTTTTTGTGAAAACAGTACCAGCAATTAGCAGTTTTTCCAATTTTAACCATTTTTCCTACTGCTGAGCCCACATATACATAGAATTTAATTACGAATGTTTGTTACTTATATATTTCATATGATACATTTTTATTTAACTCAGAGAAAACAAGAACTTACTTTATAATTTTTAACAGTTGAAAGTTTGTAGAGAACTGTAGATGTGAAGTACCTGTTCGCTACTATGTCAGCATCAACGGATGGCATTGTAGATTTCTTTATTTTCTTTGAAGATAACACTCGCTTATTTTCTTTCTCAAAAACGATGCTACAATGAAGCAAGTTGATAATTTCAGCGAGAGTAACTTGAGATGACCAAACAACATCATCTAATGCTTTGCTGACGAAATTGTCTGACAGAAAAGGATTTCCCAGACCTTTAGATAGCATGAGTGTAATTAATCCTGGCCAACGAAGGGTTTTGACAGTTGCATCTGTATTTTCAAACAAGCACCTGGAAAAAAAAAGTTTAATTGATAAATAAAAAAATAAAAAAAATAAAAAAATAAAAATAGGCTTGAAACTAGAATTTTCTATGACAATCAAATAAGAAAATATATCATGTGAACATTTATTATTTAGCTATCGTATAATAGTGATAAACCATCTGCTTACAGAATGTCATCGGGGACCATCAGCGGTCGAACGGTGAAGTCGCTGAACACTGGTAGTTTGGCCCGAGGTTCGAGTTATGGCAAATGAGCTGCCTGCATGATCATTTTCGTGGTTTTCCCCATGCGTAGTACGAGCCAATTTCCCTCAGAAAGTCTTCCATGAAGGCATACCTTCCTTAGGCAGATACCCCTCAAGTGCTTTGCCGTAATCAAATATACCATACAGACTATCATAGAGGATCTAAGAGAGATTCGATAAGTATATGCGATAGGCAAATTAATACTCAGAAAAGGAGGGATTGAATTGAAGTTTTTCTGACGTAATAAAAAATATGAATGATACACATAACTGCCGAGACAGAGCAGTAGGACAGTTACAGAAAGAGCAGTTCTACATCTTCAGTAACACGTGATATCGCTTGGAGATATTAAAAGTTCAGTCTGGCACAGAGTTGAATAGACGCAAGATGTTGTCCTGAGGTAGACAAGTCCACGGTTGTTGGACGGCATTGGTTTCAAATCCTGGGTCTGGATAGTGCGTTTAATATCCTGGGTCTGGATAGTGCGCCTGCCAAGCGGCTGTCCATCAACAAACACGTATTCATTGATGAAACTATAAATGTCCTCTGCTGCTGTCATCACTTATCGCCAGTCTGTGACATTTCACATTACTTTGAACTCACACCTCTGCAAACGGAGCCCTTGTTTTGTTGTTAAAGGTAACAGTTGAAAAAGGCAGGACAAGGCAGGAAGAAGTAAGCGGACTACCAGAATTTAACCACTGAAATAGTACAGATATAGTCCACCTCACTAACTGTACAGCTCCACCCCAGCTTTGATTGAGGACACACCAGAAGACGGATCTAAATGTTCCTCCTCTTCCCCTACCACCAAACCTCGAGAGAAAACTAAACTCTCGGCTGGCTAGTACAAGTGCCCTTACGCTGCACACATACAATACCTTTACAAACATCCACACTTTCCTCGGAATATTCAAACCCGCTGAAATTTCTGAGTCGTTTCTGTGAGACATTCATTCATGAGGGTTCAGGAGCCAATATATATCCATGTGTAGTAGACAGGGTTCACTGTGGGATTCGTTATGTGCCTGACATGATCCTTCCATCTTCTCTAATGTTGTTTTTTCTGATCTGTCTGCAACCTATAGGTTACAAATGGGTGCTTTAAACGTGTCCACTATTGTGAACATTAGCAAATGATATGGTCAGACTATCCACGTGGTGGGTTATACGGCGCTCCGATCCCTTGCGTCTTCTCCCATTGATAAAGCATGCCTTGAAGTCCGTGAGTTGCGCAACCTCACGTTTATGGCTTTCTTCACACTCCGTAATTTTTCTTGCATTAACCGACGCTTTTAATTTTTACATGACACTGACTATGGACCGAATTATGAAAATTTGTAGTTCCTATTTGCAGCGCAATTGGAAAGTGCCGCACAAAACGTGGATCATATCAGCTCTTTGCATAGTTTAAAGGTTGCAACATATTTCCTTCTTTGCGCTGAATGTTTTGTTATCCGTAAGTGTATTTAATTTCCAAACGAAAAATCGCGCAGCCAACTCAGGCCAAGAATGGAGCCCAACGTACATCTATCACATTTTGCTGCGTTTGTCGTTGGTGTGTCAAGAAAATATAGAAGAATAAAATCTATTAATTTATTCCTTAATATTAGTATAATTTTGCAATAACGAGATCACAGTTGGAAAAAAATCTGATGTGTACACAACATGACTTCCTTGTACGGAATATTAAATTATACGCATTTTTCCTGCCTTTCATTTAAACTTATTTCCTCGCATTTCATTAGAGTTATAGTTCTCATTCAATTAATTCAGTTCTCACTTCGCGACAAGCAAAAGTGCTGTATTTGCCGGTATATAAGACGCGCCCCCTTTTTTATACACGTGTTTGAAGGAAAAAACTTTATTACTGATCAATATAATGAATTTACAGTATTTTAAATGTAAAGTAATGCAAATACAAAGTAATACTTTCTGCAGATATCCAATCTATCTGGAAAAGAACACCTTTCAATCTTCTTCGTCAAACCCAGACACTCATCTCCAGAGCTAAATGAAAAGTCACTTGAAACCTCTTTTAAATCAGCATCTGAGTCGTCATACAACAAAGAAGACTGCACCCAGCTGTTCCACTTCTTCATAAAATCCCTTAAATGGCAGGGGCGTAGAGAGAGTTTCCAGCTCCCGGGGACAACTGAAGAATTTGAGCCCCTTTCTGTGTGCCAAGAATGGAAAACATTTCATTAAAAAATTAGCATCAATTTGGCGCCCTCTAGATGCTGCGCCCCTTGCCCCACCCTAGCTACGGCACTGTTAAATGGTTTATTAATGAAGACGTCTAAAGGTTGAAGCTGACTAGTTAGGCCTCCTGGCATTAAGCAATACGGCCAGCGGGCAAGAAGACAGGTTTTTCGGTGCACGAAACTAAAAGTTTTCTTTTGGTTTCATTCGGCAAAAGACACTGAAAGCGTAGAAACTGACTTAATTTGTTGTGGATGCTATGCTGTGTCAATATATGGGATAATTTAACAGCTTAAATGATAATTTCAGAATGGATTAAGCATAATTTAATTCGCAATAATAAAAGAAGACGCTACTTTGTTGTTGCGAAGATTAGTTTCTCTAGATTGGCAGCAAATCCACTATTCTGTTAAGTTTCAAATGTAAACAAATATGGTTACTATGGTAAAAAAATTAGGCTTAGGCGCACTTAAACAACTTTTAAATTGTTGATAATTCTACAACTATTGCGTGGAAGTTAACTAAAGGCATAAAAACCTTAACTGGAAGATAAGAACAATATATTCAATCATTTTTTAAAGCAAAAAATGCTCAATTTACAAACATTTAAGAATAAAAAAACTGAGCTCACTCAGCCGAGTAACAAAGTGTATATATATATATATACGCATATATTTACATATGTTTGGTGCGGCCGATTGCAATTAAAATAGGAGGTGTATATCTACATGTTATAGCAGTTCTACGTACAAAATTTCAACGTTCTGAGTCTACTCATTTTTGAGTTATGCGAGATACGAACGTACGTACAGAGGCCAGAAAACAATCTCATCTGAATCTATTTTAAATCAGTTTTATAATTCTTTTGGGGAAAAAGAGTCCTTTATTCTGTTCTTACGTACAGATGGCACGCAAAAACATCGTTAAATTGCATTCGATAGCGGTCGAAATGATTATTTTCGTTGAAATATGGTAGTCGAAATTTTCGCGATTACTAAATGCTTCCTTTTTACTTCGTACAAGGAAGTAAAATGTTGAGAGATAAATATTTGATTAAATAGTGGATTAGTTAAAACTACTGAATACTGGTAGTTTATTCTGTAATCTGATTCTAAACATGAATTGCATGAACAATTTCGTAGTTTCCTCTACGCATAACGTAAATAAAAACAAGCTTACCTTCGTAAATCTTCGTTATAGGTATCCCTCTTAAGCCATACTCCCAGAATGCTTTGCCGTAACTAAATATCATACTGAATTAATCTCTGATATGGGCACCGTCGCTTAGTTGGTTAAAGCGCCTGTCTAGTAAATAGGAGATTGTTAGGAGATCTTGAGACTTGACATTTATTTTTTCAAGCGTTTTTGATACTGTAGATCTGACTATTGAAGCTAATTTTCTATTCTTATTATAAACAAGTTATACATTGAAGGAGAACATTGCAATAAAGTTATACACTGACAGCTGAAGGAGAGCATATAGTAAACGATAAATTCAGATGGGAATTTCGGAAAAATTTTAGTTTGATGTATTAACTATAAAGATATAGGGTTTAGTATACATTTACAATTTCTACTGTTTTATTACCCTGTTATCTTAAATAGTACTTTGAAAGATGGCTTTAAGCAAAGAATTTTAAGAAAGTAAATTGTAATTCATTAAGGGATGACTAAAATTTTTCACCTGAGCAATAATTTAAGAATATACATAATTTGATTTTAAAAAGTTTTGTACTCACTTGAATGTACTGATAAGATGATCACTGCAAGAGGCAGTTTCTTGCAGTCTTTTGATTACACTTTGCACTGATACAATTTGTTTCACATTTGGTGGATTTATAATTCTAAGATTTGCCCTGTATTTTTGCAAAATTGCTCGACTTCTCAGTACAGCTGAATTCCATTCTTCACTCTCACAAACGTCAGGCACTTCTAATAAGTTCACTGTATTATTTAGAGTTTGTGTAAAAAGTGAACGTCTCCAAATGGCGAAGATATACTTTGATCGATTTTGTATGGTTTTCATGGTTTCTTTTGAACTTAACAGCACAAACGCACCTTTCCACGATGTCTTGCTACTCCTAAGAAGTAGAGGAATAATTACTAATTTATAATGGAATGTTTATCGCAGATAAATGTACATATACAGAATAAACAATAAATTATATGCGTTCTGAAATTTATAAAAGTAAGGCCAATATTAAATTAATTATAAATCAATGTAAACATAATTTTAAGACCAACACACGAAACTGCTTCTTATCACAAAACCTTTTGTTAGGTACATAGTTGTGTCGAAAAATATTTAATTACTTAATTTCTGAATTGAATGATTTAATTTCAAGATCTAGTATGTCGCCTGAAGCCTGGATGATGCTTTTCCTTCAGAGATTTTGAATATTGTTAAAAAATCAGAATCTCAGGAGTTATAAGAATTAAAAAGTATGCAGAAGAAAGAATGCATTTATTAAATGATGTATCTGTATGTTAATTAGAAGCAAGCCACAATTACTTAAATTCTCATTCATCTGTTCGAAAATTTTTTAACTCTTAAAGAAAATCTAGTGTTCAAATTAAAATTAAAATTTAATTTATTATACATTTATTCACCATAATAATAAATTTATGTTTTAATACAGAAAATTCATAGTTTATATGCATTATATCCAGCACTAATATCAATTTGTATAATAATAAAGTTTAAAATTTTTTCCTATTAATTACCATGCAAAAAAGAATTCAGGTGATTATGTTTGTGGCAGATGCACAATATATTGTCTTCGTGGCAGTAAATTTACGATTATCATATGCATATGTGTTGCGAATTCTGGAAAGTTTTCTTTTCTTCCTGATCTTTTCAGTTACTATATTTGTAACTCAACAATCGTTTTCTTAGTTTTAGAATTAATTAGACATTATGTCTTATGAAAAGGTAATAAAATCCACGGTTAAGTTTTTAAAGATTCCATTTATGAGTTTAATTCTTGGGAAATTTATAGCATATCTTTTGTGTGTTTGAGATATACCTGCTAAATTAAAAAAGCGTTAAAATTTCCTTATGACCTAAAAGTTGAAATTAGTAAGTCCTCAATAGCTAATAATTGTTGGAAATTTAATCAAAATTTTGACTTTAAATTATCCAAAAAGCTTTTTATTTTGTGAGTTATATTTCCTTGAAGCTTTTCTCATTCACGAAGATTTATATTGTTTGTAATTCACGAAGATTTATATTCACGAAGAATATACTAGAATTTATTCACGAAGATTTATATTGTTTTTATATTGTTGTTTCACACAATATGTCCACTATCAGACAGAAAACACAAGTATTTCCAATAGTTTAACAGTCTGATAGTGAACGCCATTACTGATTATTAATAATAGAACAATACCGTTTATATGAGTATCGTTTGCTTCATTTTATTGTTGCAAACAGAGTAAATTTCTTTTGTTTTTCTTCCTTTAGTTTTGAACTTTATGTGTGGCAACAAGATAATTGATTAATAGAATTGTGTTTGTGACAGTCATGTAGAATGGCTCGCTTATTTTGTATCAATTATTTCGCATCGCTGATATCTTATTTATAATTAGTGTAATGAAAAAAATTAAGGAATACGGTCCATGTGTTAAGTGATTATTGTTTGTGAAACATATTAAGAAATAGATAAATTATTATTGGTCGAAAGTCTAGCCTGAGTGCTAGTGAAAATAGTGACTGTTCTAAGCGCATTGTAACAACGCAAATATGCATATGGTTGGTGAAACATTACTCTACTTTGTGAGGTAAGTGGATTTTGAACATTTATATTCTAACAAAAATTCGTTTATAACGGATTTTAAGAACAATGTTGTAATACAGCATAGAAAAGTGTTTCGATTTCATTTTAATAATAGTGTTAAGTGATTTAAGAACAATTTCTGTTTTTGAATTGATCAATTATGAGTGAACTTATAACTTTTAAAACAAAAAGAGCGGTCTTACGCAGGAGTGTTACTAATTATGTAAAGAAAATTGAAACTATTTTAACTGCAGATGAAATTAATTTAATAAAACTAGAGGAATGTGCCGAATTATTGAAACAAAAAGAAACTGAGTTAAGGAAGCTTGATTCTGAAATCGAAAGGTTAATTACAGATACTAAAGAATTAGAAAACGAAATAGATAATGTTCAGGAGTTCACAGATAAAATTTATTTGTGAAAATTTAAAGGTGAAAAAATATTAAAAAATCAAAAGAGTAAAAATAATTCTAATAGTGTAATTTCAGAACAGGTTCTTGAGAATATTAAATTACCAAAGTTAACATTACCAACTTTTGGTGGTAATATTACAGAATGGATAGCTTTTAAAGATCTTTTCAGTGCTTGTATAAGAAATAATACAAATTTATCTAATGCTAAAAAATTGCAGTATTTGAAGGCTTCGTTGAAAGGTGAAGCATATCGCATTATTCAAACCATTCACAATTTCGGATAGTAAATTTTGAAATAGCCATGGGAATCTGTTTAGACGAAAGATATTCAAATAAGAGAGAAACAAATTTTTGCATATATTAAACGTTTTACTAAGCTTACCAACTATTCAAAATGAATCAGCATTTGCTATTTTAAATTTAGTTGACAATATTAATGAAGTAATTCGTTCTTTAGAAGTATTGAATCAAAGCCTTGATAATTTTGGTGACACTTTAATGACTTATTTAAATTTTGCAAAAATTAGACCCTTCTACAAAAATTATGGTGGGAAAGTCAGTTAAAATGTAATGAGATTCCAAAACTTACGACTTAATTGAATTCCTAAAAAACTATGCAAGAACACTTCAAAATAGCAAAATCAACAAGTAATAAGGTACCTAAATCTGTGTTTCAAAATAAGAATAATGTTCTTGTTGCTACTTTGAGTTGTGCTTTATTGTAAAGAAGATCATAGTTTAGCCAAATGTTCTAAATTTCTAAATTTATTGGTTCAGCAAAGAATAGAATTTGTAAAATCTAATCGTTAGTGTTTTAATTGCTTATCTAATATGCACTTGCTCAAAAAAAAAAAAAAAAAAAAAAAAAAAGAGTTTAAATACATGTCAACATTGCTTTAAGAAGCATCACAGTATTTTGCACATTGTAAATAATTCAAAGAATAAAACTAAGTTAAACAGTATATCTCCGCCTACGCAATCTATCCCTAAAAGAGATGAATTAACGAGTCCTAAGGATGTTTCAGCCACAGTTTGTGCCTCTCATTATGATTCGAATGCAAAAAGTAATCAAACCAGTCACATTTTATTGTGAACTGCTTTAATAAAAGTTCAAAGTTCTGAACAACAATTTGTGAAGTGTAGATGTTTATGTGACACTGGATCTTAGAGATCATTTATTTCAAGGGATTGTGTGAAGAAATTAGGATTACGAGTGAAAGATAATCCCATTTCTGTATCATGTCTAGAAGAATTTAATACTATAAGTAATGGGGAAGTTGATTTAGTATTCACTTCTAATTTTAAAAGTGATTTTCGTGTATCAATATCAGCGTTTGTACTGGACAAAGTGACAGATACGTTCCCTATGTATCTTTGCCATCAATCATCTTCGATAACTTCAGTGATTTACAATTAGCTGATCCATTATTTTACAAGTCACAACCAGTCGACATTTTATTTGAAGTAAATGTATTTCTGCATTTAATGACGGGAGAAATTGTCAAACGTGGTCCTGATCTACCATTTGCTCTAAATTCGAGGTTGGGATGGATAATTTCGGGTACTACAAATTTTGAATCTACAGATTTTGAGCCAGTATATGTAAATCATTTGAATACAAATACAGATGAGTTAGTAAATTCTTTCTGGGAGTTAGAAAAGTTTCCAAATGTATGCAACCTTTAACAAATGAAGAAAAACTTTGTGAAGAACATTTTAATAACTCGCAATTTAGAGACACATCAGGTCGTTATTCAGTTGCATTACCATTTCAAACATAACAGAGATATTCTAGGTGACTTCCCGTGAAATGGCGCACAGAAGATTTCAATACTTGGAGAAGAGGCTGTTATCTATGAAAGAAATTTACAACCAGTATATTTACATATTATGAAAGAGTACTTTTCACTAGAACACGTAGAATTAGTGCCAGACACAGATTATGAATTAGAGAATAATACTATTATATCCCACATCACTTCGTGTTGAAGGACTCTAGCTTAACAACAAAATTGAGAGTTGTTTTCGATGCGAGTGCTAAAACAACCACAGATGTTTCTTTAAATGATACGCTAATGATAGGCCCAAAAATACAAGATGACTTAATTTGTATTTTACTAAGATTTAGACTTCATAACATTACAATAACCGCTGATATTAAAATGATGTACAGACAGATAAAGGTTCATGAAAAAGATAGAGATTTTCAGAGAATATTATGGAGAGATAGCCGTTATAAACAAATACAAGTTTGTCGTTTGGAAAACTGTTACATATGAAACTGCAGCTGCTCCATATCTTGCAACCAAAGTTTTGAGTCAGTTAGCGATTGATGAAGGATTGAACTTTCCAAAGACAAAGAATATAGTTTTAAGAGATTTTTATGTTGATGATATTGTTACGAATTTGGTATTTAAAAAGCTAATGTTAGTTCAATTATAAATTAAATGGTTTTATTTCTCGTGCTGTGCAGCGCCTGACGAATATTAAAAGAAAGCTAAGCCGGAAAATTGAAAATACAAGAGCGCGTGCATTAAATAAATAAATATCTCTTTTTGATTTCGAGAAAGTACTGGAAAATTCTAGCGCGTGATTTTAAAATCTTATAAAAGGAGGAAAACATCTCAGTTTGTAGTAGTTGCTTAGTTTGTTGTTGTTTAGAAAACTGCTCTTGATTGTAGCGAATTCGCGGATTAGCTTTCTTTAGCTGTTTTGAATTACGTTCTATTGGACATTTGAGTAGTTAAAAGATAACTACTGTGAGGTATTGTAATACTGCATTATAATTTGAGAAGATTTAAGCATTTTTGTTGTGATAATAATAAATTTTTGTTCATTTTGCATCGGACTTGTGCATTCATTTCATAACGAACCCGTACGCACGCAACA